ACAACGATGATATCTGGATTGTCACCCAGGTAGCTGTTTTAACATGGTGTGGTGGGTAATGTTGATAGACTTACAGTCAGGATCCCTGTTGTACATCATCTGCTCCTTCAGTTTGGCGATGGCCCTGTTGGCGTCCATGGCGTTGTTGATGATGAACACGTTCTCGGGGTTCTCGTTGTTCTCCATGGTCTTCAGTGGTTTCCTGAACTGCTCGCCGGTCATGAGGAAGAGCAGATCGTAAGGCAGAAAGCTGTTGTCGTTGATCATCACGTACTGCTCCCTGCGGTCGATCTTGGTAACTTTCCCCTGCATGACGTTAACGTATGTCCTCAGGCTGATCATGTCCATTCTGCGGGTGTCGAGGAAGTTTTTCTGCACGTTGAAAGACTCCCTGACCCTCCTCAGGGTCCTGAAGTTGTTGAAGCCCTGCATTCCCACCAGGGTGACATTGTTGAACAGCACCTGGAAAGCTAAGTTAGAATCGTAAGGTGTTGTTCCTTGATCTTACTGGTTGGGTAACGTCCTGCGTAAGAATTAAGGACTCTAGGAACGCCAGAGCTGTGTGACTGGACCCAATGACGACTATCCTCGTATTGATTGTGTAAATATCAACGCCACTTAGGGGCATCGTGCTAAGATACAGAGCGAAAGGATCCTGTTCTTCAGTTACTGCAGATGGTATAGGACAACCTAAAAAAGACTTGAAATCAAAAGCAGTTTGAGGGGAAATAAATAAAAAAATATGTGTAAAATAAGAATCACCCATATGCTACCTACCTTCCTCCTTGAGCATCACGACGTCGTAATCCGGTTTCATCCTTGGCATGATCGGAAAAAGCATATGCATCATATTAAGTATTGGTCTGTCCCTAAATCCCCCACTGTAATAAGACATGTGTTTGTAATATAGAACAGAGAAATCGCTCATCCTGTGGAGCTCCCTCAGGAAGAACTTGGCATGCGCCTCGAAGATGGGCGACAACACCAAGCTTTCTAGTAGGCCATGCTTGCCGCTGCTGTGCATCTTCAAGCTTATGGCCGACGCTAGGTCATAATGGTACTTGAGGTATTTCATGTCGAATTCTTCCGAAAGTACTAGAAGAAACATCTGTACTGTTGATATTAGAAGTTAGAAGAAGTACCCACTGGCAAACCCGACCACTTGATCCCCGCTACACATCACGTAGGAGTGGAAGGGATTCTCTTGCCCTTGCAGGTAGAGCTCGAACAGATGCTGGATGTAGTACTGATTGGGGATGGTGGACAGCAACCTCCTCACTTGCTGCTCGTGACAAAACGAGGCCACTTCCACCTTCATCTTGCTGAGCATGGTATTCTTGTGCATAACATAAAGGTCATAGGGGAACGTGCCGTCTACTCTAGGTGATACGCGGGTGAAAAAGGTGCTCAGCCTCTTCATGTGAATGGTGGGCGGCATGGACATCACCAGGTACTCCCTACTAGGAAAGCATTCGAAGGAAGACTCGAAGAGCATTATCAGAGCCGTCTCGTGGTCGGGATGAGCCGCTGCTACTTCCAAGCAGAAGGCGTTTTCCTCGCCTGAGAACTTGGGGATCCTCACGTTGGACTTTCCCTTCAAGGAGCCTGAAGGGGTTGTTGATTAGGATGGGAGAAATAAGGGATACGGCGAGGTTACCTGTAGGAGATGGCACGTCTACATCTGTCGTTAGATGCTTCTTGGGTATCTTGAGGTACTCGTCTATCACCCCCGCACTGTCCGAAGCCTCGAGGGTCTCGTTTTCCTTGAAGTCGTCATCTTGAAAGATGAACATAGATCCGGAAGTGAACACCAAGGAATAATCTTCGGAGCTGCTGATGGACAGCTGTCTGTGCTCCTCTGCGGACATCATGCTCTGGGTGGTCTCTATGGACTTTTTTTCGACTATCTGGGTCACTCTGGAAAAGGAAAATAACGGGGAATAGGCTGTAGTATGGGGTCTTACGTTTACTTACATCATATCGTCGTCAACTCTGTTCAGTTGTTCGATGCTGAGGTATAGCACGTCCATTGAAAAGTCGACGTCGTCGTGGTGGGGTTTCCTTAGACCATTCATGGGTACTAGTTCGAATTCCTCGTTCAACACCTTGAGCAGAAACATTTCATGACAAGAATACACTCCAGTTGAAAATAGTAGACGCGGTATGCAAAGATAGAAATAGGCGGTTTTAACAATAGAACGTTTCAAGGCAGAACACGTCGAAACACTATGGGAAATGAATGGCACATTACCAATACGGGAAATGTATATAATTATTTTATTAAGAAGTAGTAAAAATTGTTATTTTGGCTCTGGAGTACAGTCCTAAGGCCTCACCTTGTAGTTCACCGTTTCATTCAAAATGAGCACAGCAACAGCGACACCTTTGTGTTCCGCCACTATGATCTGCCTGCCAGAATCTTTGTGTCTGGTTAACAGCTCGGCTATGTAGAAGTTCCCGTACATTTCCTGCAGCCTTTTCGAGTGGGTCTCTATCAGAGGGATTAGATCGTCGTTGTCTTCTTCCACCGCCCTTCTAATCTTGTATTTAATCATGAAGTTCTGTTTCTGGATGAGATAGATGATTTGGGAAGCCTTCGGGTTGACGCAGTCTGAAAAAATTTCGGCTCAGATGAGAAACTGTGATGATTCTGGTTCTAGTTACCTTTTGGCACCACGACTGTACCCAGCTGATCCAGCAGTTCCACCCTGTGCATGCCGGGAGGCATAATCATAAGAATGTAGCGGAGAAAGTACCTCGCCTTGAATATGTGTTGGATGATTGGCCTGAGGAAGAAGAACTGGTAAGGAGCATCCCAGAGAATCAGGTGGATCCAGAGGCAATTGCGACTGTTGACCTGCTCCAAGCCGTAGAGGTTGACCAACCAGGAGTTCCACTCCCATGGGGGGACGGCTGGTACGTTGGGGTAGGTTGCGAAGAAGGCGGCTCCGGCGATTTTTTGGTATTCGTCTTCTATTTTAAGGGAAATGTAGCAGTTCGTCCTAGAAATAAAAAAAATACTGTTTAACTTACTACAGCTGTCATTTTCATGTACGTACAGTAGATCTGGTATATTTATATTCCCGAAGAGGCCGTGAGTGAGTTTTTCGTCTACCATCCTTTCCAGTATGGGAATATCTTGGGTGGTGATATTTTTCACGTCATTTGGCGACAAAAGTACTGCTTTTTTAACATTAAAATACTTATTCGAAGGAATAGACATTATAAAACTATTATTTGAATATAAAATACATTGACATTTCGGAATGGTTTGACAGTTCTATTTAGAGAAGGTGGAACTAGTAGCAACTACAGTGACTATATACAAGACAGTGGCGACAATAGAGTGTATCATTTTTAATTGGTCCACGTGATTTTAGCTGCCATGTTCCATCCAGTGTCAAATTCATCTGTGAAATGTCATGGTGTCAGGACCGTTCTTATGGTGTTATTAAATATTTGTATTGTTTTATTTTAATTTTGGTGATTACTAGTGAAACTATTGGGTATTCTGTGCTAAGGGATAGTTATAATGTCTGCAGAAGCTTCATGAGGACGATGACCGTGAATTTCTTTCAGGCTTTTTGGACACCATTACAAAAAAATATAAGACCTACTTATAAGGAAGTTAAGGTTCCTGCTAACATAGAAGAACTAAAATTTAATCTTAGTTTTAGTGAATTAAATTATCTTTATAATGTGTGCGGATATATTTTTCAAAGTATCGTTAAAATGTCAAAAACTTGTACAAACTGTCTGCATGCTGTTGGTTCTAAAACGCCGATCTATAAAACATGTTCAAAATTTAGCGTACTAAAGTCTTTTTTGCAATGAAGCGGTATTTTGTTTCTTCTTGCAGATGGAAAGTACTTTTACAACATTTTTTGCGATTGAATCTTGACAAAACATAAATTTAAATGAGTTTTTCTTAAAAGAAATGTCTTGTTTAAATTTAGATCTACCAAATTGTCATCAGATCAAAAATAAAATTGTTAAAAGATTTATTATGTTCCGATTAAAAATAGCTTCCAAAAAATGTCAAAAAGCATGCAAAAAGCTTGCAAGTAAAAGTGTTGCTGGACATTTATTGTAACAAATACTATCACTAGTATTAAGTATTCGTTTTTCTAATGTAAACCCAATAAATTTCATTGTGTAATGTAGGTATGCTTAAATTTACTTGCCTAGAAAATATAAACCAATAGTTGTTATTATTATATATTTATCCTTCCCTATTGCGCAAGTAGATTTTATATTCATTCATTATTTAAAATCACTTTCCAAGGGAGTTATTTGCCTAAAACTGTGCGTAAAATTTAAAAGAAAAATACTTTTGTACTTAATTTATTTTTTATAAAAGTTACATTCAATTCGACATTGGATGCAACATGGCGGATGGGCGGGGTTTAGTCGCTATTGTCACCACTGTCTTGCATATAGCCGCAGTGTTTAGGGTACATAAATCATATACGTACAGTGTGACCCATTTGAAATCGGGTTACCCTCATAAAAATTTTATTTACAGGGTAATTTTGACAATTTTGGATTGTGGAGGGGAGAAAAGTGTACTTTAGGACCAAGTGTCATCCTTTTTATACAAAAACCAAGGCCACCAGAACATTTTTGGGGGGTAATATTGAAGAAACATATTAGCGATTTTTTTTGAAAAAATTGTGAGTACTCCAGTGAATTAATTGCCCCTTAAAATGGGCTTACATCAAATTTAATAAAAAAATATTGCATAATTATTCTACGATCAAATTGCTAATCGTACCGACTCGTTTCCCTTTCAAGATATCTTAAAACGGTCTCAAAAACATCAAAATATATCGAAAACTTCAAAATACCTGGAAATACTTCGAAAACCTCCAAGCCTTGAAGGATGTTATTCAACCACTACCTTTTGTCGAAAATCAAACTCCGTTTATTTACGTTTGTCTATTTCTAAAGAAAAATTTACGTAAAATGTCACACTCATTATTATGTTTTTTTTTTTTCAGTTGAGTCTGGGTGTGGAGGAAGGTATCCTGCAGGCTTACAACCAGGATTTCGAGTTGCAATTTGCTCACAAAGTTTCCCAAATGACGAGGTTTTCCCAGGCCGACTTGGACCCGTGCACCTTTCTATACCTCCTCAGGGACGACTATGAGAACCTCCTCTATTGCTACCTGTTCCAAGCCAAGAAAATTGCCGATGTAAGTAAAAAAAAACATGTATTTTTTATGTATTACAATTTTACGCAAAAAAAATACAACGCTATGGTTGTTTCTAATAGATAAATACACACCGGCTTCTGAACGGGTCCTTGAGGAATGCTTACGCATTTTTAAATTATTGTGTTTCCTTAGTTTTTTGCTAAAACTTTAACGCAAGAGTGTTATTATAACTTGTTATCATTTTAGGCATATATAAAACTTAATCGTAAACATTTTTAAAACTAAACAGACCAATTCCCGAGAGTGTACTGTTTAAGCGTAGAATTTATTGATAAACGCGGATTAAAATCAGCAGATGTTGCTGTGCAGACAGCTTGGCAACGAACTGTTTTAGCGAAATAAAATCGGCGTATTTTTTAAACGGACGTAGATTTACGTTGAACGTTATACAAATTAGAAAAATGATTAATTCGTACTGTACATACAGGTGGCCCAAAATATAAAAACGTATTCATTGTTTCATTTGGATTTTTTAGTCAACCATCAACTTTTATGAACAGGTAGATTATTAAAAGGTAGTGAGAATTTTTTATGTATACTACGAAAAATGTACAAATTTTGAGATATGGGATTTTGTAAGTATCCATAATCAACACTTTCTTGACGGCAAAGGCGTAATTTTCAAATGTATTTCAATATTTTTCAAATATAACGAAACTGAAAATTTCGTTTTTATTTTTTTTTAATTGAAAATGGAAAGTGGACTATTAAATGAAACTTCAGTTAAATTTCCATTGGCAGTATCAAAATTATAAGTTCACTAATAATGTTTTTTTTACTCTATTTTAAAGATGTTAATTCAAATTCAAACATTTTCTTAAAAAATCTTATCAAATGAAATCAAACAATTAAAGATTTGCATTTTCATGATTACAAAGTTCAATTGACTCAAGAAGAGAGTTCGTTGAGTGGACCATGGAGACTATACAAGGAGCCCGAACTCCATGTAAACAAAAATCTTACAAAAATAAGAGGGCGCTAGTGTTCCATATGTCCCATATGTAGAGAGGGGAGATAAAAAGCGGCAGTTTGAATTATAAATCAATCATGTCATTTTGTAATGTGTTAAAAATTTTAAAATAAATAGTGTAAGCTACTTTGAATTATATAAATCATGAAAATATGTCATTCCGGACTGTAATTAAACTAAATAGATAATAAAAAATATTAGCTTTATGAGAAGAATTTGGTGTTCGTAGAAACTAGTTTTCAAGGAATTTATGACGTGATCTTGTTCTTGTTAATATTAACCGAGAAGTAAAGTTTACGTTTATGATAATTACTTTGTTAAAGATTTTAGTTTAATGTTAGTAAAAATTAGTCACATTTTATACAGGAAGTTGCCTTTAAAAAAATAGTAATTCTTGTATTATTAATATGGAATTTTTACTTGTGGTAATATAAAATAGAATATAAAAAAGCTCGGTGTTTTAAATACTTTTTAAAATATTACAGATGTCCGATTTTGAGTCCAGTGATTCAGATGACTTATTAGACGCATTATCCAGCTTGAGTGATGATGAAATAGATTTATTCTAAGAAATAGAAAGAGTAAAAAATAAGAACTACTTTGAAATTACTGTACCTGAATATAGTGGTCAAGTTTTTTTAATATTTCCGTGTTAGCATCAGGGAAGTAGCTAACAGAATTGAAGAAAAATTTGCCATTTCTAATTATTTCACCCATGATTCTGGTAAATTTTGCATTGCCTTAAGCTCTACAACAACCAGAAAAGTTACATACTTGCTAAGTAACTTGTCTCCACAAATTATAGAATGGCCGAGATAATGAGGCAGTTGTAACGAAAAATATTTTGCCCACTATGAATTTCCAGAGGTTATAGGAATAATTGATGGGAAAGGAATTCACATAAGATAGAGTATATCACAATCCATATTTTTTTGAATAACCAATAATATACTATATTATAGTGTAACTGAAAACTGACTATGGAAAGTCGATAAATTATGGTTGGACAATTTCTAAGCTGATTGCCATGTTGTCGGTTTAGACTTCTCAATGCTTAGAGAGTCATATCGCTCTCTTCTTCAGAAGAAATCTGGGACCGTTTCTTTTGAAGGTCAGAATGATATGTCTCTCAAAGTGTCAAGAAGCTTAAAACATGACAACCAATTGATACCAAAATTTTAACAAAATATACTCCATTATAAAGGTCACAAAATATAGTTAATCTAAATATTTTATAACTGTTTAAAATCGATTAGTTTTTTGGGTATATATTTTAAAATTGCTGTAAAATTTAATTCTACTTTCGTAAAATTGTTGATTTAATTCGAACGTAACATGGTTCCATGACTTATTCCAAGGTAGAGTATAGACCAAAATTAATAAGGTATTATAAAGAAATATTTTAGCAATGTTCTATATTTTTGTTATATATTTTGTAAAAATAAAATGTTTGTCTACCAAACATTTCAATGTTTTATTAATTGAATCAAAAAAACGAAATTATTTGTGCCTAATTAAAATAAAATAAATATTTATTCATAACAAACAAGTAACAAAGTAAATATATATTACAAATAAAACAGGAACTCCTCTTAAAAATAAGTAATACGTGTCAGTATATCTTCTTAAAATTTAATTTTGTTCATGAAGCAATTGATTTCAACGTTTAAATATTTAGTAAAAGTAGTCAATTACCAATACAGTATGCATGACAGGATGCTCACTTTCTAGTATAATCTCATCGTAACTTAATAATTGCTCTTGATTTACTTGCTGTTCTTGTTGTAACTGTTGCTCTTGTTGTAGCTGCTGCACCTGTTGTTGCTGGTGTAGCGGTCAGTGGATGCTCTTGCTGTTGATGCTGCTGCAAGATATATAAAGAAAATGCATCATTCAATTATACAATATTTCCACTTATGAAATCTTTCTATTTAAAAATTTCTCTACCATATTAAGAATCAAAGAAGCTGCTTCCAACTTCCGAATTATTCGACCTTTTGCAATAATATTAACCCACTATTCGGTCAAGTTGTAATATAGAACTGCTGGACATCATTAGATTGAAAATGCGGATCACAAACGTACTGTTTTATTTTAAATCTGTTGACAGTCATTCATTTCACATACTATTACCATATTTAAATTATTTTCGAAACTTTTTATTTACCATTTATAAAAACAAATTGTAATAATTATTGACTTGATTTCTAGTTTTTAGGTTAGTGTACCTCCCCACTCCCCGATATATCTACTAAACTCAATATAAATAAAATAAAATTGGTTATTTGTTTACTTCACTCGTATTTATGTAGCTACATTCATTTGGGACATATGGAACACTAGCGCCACCCCAACTTCTGCCTTTTCTTGGACAAATTTTGTCAATTTTCCCGTATGAGTTTGTGCTCCTTATCTAGTCTCCCTGGAATGGACTATGGAACAAGTGGATGTTGATTTTTCAAACAAAATTATCTTCAGTGTGAGGTTCATTTTCATCTTGATGACTTCGCTAATCGACAAAATTGTCGCATTTATGGTTCAGAAAATCCACGAGTGATTTTTGAGAAACAAATACAACCACAACGTGCTAACTGTGTTGAGCGGATTTTGGGCTTCGAACCATTCTTCTTCGAAAATGCGTCTGGTCAGGTTAATGGTGCTCGCTGTCGCGACATGATAATCCAGTATTTTGAGCCTAAATTTCAAGATGTGTATGTAGACGACATGTGGTTTCAACAGGACGGTGCCACATGCCATACAGCCCGAGAAACAATTCAATTACTGCATGAGTCATTTCTTGGTTGTGTTTCCCATTTTGGTGATCAGAATTGGCCGCCCAGATCATGCAATTTAACGCCGTTAGACTTGTTTTCTTTGGGGTTTTTTGAAGTCTAAAGTTTATGCCAACAAATCCACAACCACACACGCCTTGAAGGAGGAACGGTCATGGAAAATTTTGACAAAAGGATGCGTATGTGTCAGCAAAACCGTGGAGGATATTTACCCGATATGCTAATCCATACATAACCCTATACTGTATACTACTTTATGAATCAATAAAAAATTTACAATTTTTTTTTAAAAACCCTTGTTTTCTATCAAATGACTTCTTGCGTAAATTTTGGGATACTCTTTACAAAGAGATCTTTTTGATTCCACATTTTACTTAGAATTGTTTCTTGTTTCATCAAACTTTTAGAAATTTTGAAACGATGTTTATATAATTCTGTATTGTTAATATTTATTAATTCCTGATGAAACAATCCTAAGTAAAATGCAGAAACAAAAAGATCTGTAGTAGCTATTTTTAATGATAAGTAGAAATAGAAAATTTTGTGACGACTATCAAATAAATAAACAGTAATAATCTATATTATGCTAGTAAACAGCAATACGCGCTGTAGTGGCAGAAATGAGCTAAATCTATGGTCAAGCCGTGTGCCGCTCTATGCTCACAATGCACAATGCTACTGACTGCCATAAAAACACGTGCCATACACTCTATCAAGCAAAGCATCAAACTTACACACGCACAAACGACAATGAAATGCACGACCAACGTCCCTCGGCAAAAAAACTGGATTATTCACCGGCACGCCAGGCTGACAGGGCAGGCATTAGGGTGCCGCTTATCAAATAAATTGATCGATGCGAAGCTTCAATTCAGAGGCAGACATGTACATGTTATTCAGTGATGCGGATAGTGGGATTACTAAAGTGTAAAGTAGTTGATGCTTCGCCACCATTAGTAAAAATATTACATATTAGATAAATGCACCTGTGACCTTGGTAAATGTTGATCAGTCATTTTCGCTTTTGAAATAGGTATTTACCGATCGCCGGAGACGATTTTCTATAATCGCTTTCCTTATGAGTTAGAAATTATTTTGTTAACTTTTGCTGGTACTTATTACGCACTATACCTATACAGGGTGATACAGAACTCATAAAAAAATTGGATGTAGACTCTTACAAATACAATTTTGTAAAGAAAAAAAATCAAAAAGGG